TTCACCATCACATACCGTAAGTCAACAATTGCTTTTATAAAAGGCAGTGTGGCATCCTGGAAAGAGTCGTGGATCTAGAGTCCGAGGGCTTGGGTTCAAATTCTGGCTGTGCCATTCACTCACTGACCTTGGGCAAGTTGTAAGGAACTTTTGGCCGTTTCCTCATTAGCAAAATGAGTGGGTTGGAAGAAATGATCTCTGTGGTGCCTTCTAGCTCTAAATCTCTGATCCGTTGACTCTGGACTAAGCATTTTGGAGACTCCATTTCCCTGTCTCCACCAACCTCTCCCAGAAATGGATGGTCCAGCTGAATCCCAGGGCAGTCAGGGCCCAGCCAGGAGGCTGTGGACCTGGGAGGTTGGGAGAGCCAATCAAACAAATGAAGTCACTTGCCTTGGTCTCTTGGCTCTCAGGCTCAGTTCCAGACAGGGAGGGATGGGGCCATGAAGACACTGAGCTCAGGGCAGGGAGGGACAGAAGAACACCCTTAGAGATGCTTCAAGCTCTTCAGGGTATTAACCTGACAATCCCTGGATTATTCCTTCCCGCACTCCCAAGGATTGAGAGGAGCCCAAAGCCTGCTTACTGACCTGCTAGCATCTCTTCTCTAGGGGAGACAAAATAGCAGGGAGCAATGACTGAACGGTCCAGGGATCAGAGAGGGATGGGAGAGGTCTGTCAACCTCTCCCTTTGGGAATCTCCATTGATCCCAATCCCTACTCCACTGAGTCATGGACAGAAGGTGGGCAGACTACAGGATGAGGAAGAGGCGGGGAAAGAGACAAGAAACAGGGAGTAGGCTTAGGGCAAGCGTTGGTGGGCAGGAAATGGGTCCTGATCCACTGCCCAGCACCAACCCAAGGGGTGGGGGAGGAGGAAAGTGGGTGACTCCTGCTGGGCACCCTAGGGCCTGAGGGAGCTAATAGGGTCATTGCATTGTTTAAACGAATCTTACGGCTTATACAGTCCTTGAAGGCGATCAGGTCTAACCCCCATTCCCCAATTATAGATGAAGAAACAAGACCCAAGAGGTTCCATGACTTGCTAAGGTCAGGGCCAGAGCCAGAACTAGAATCCAGGTCTCCTGATGTACAACCCAAGTATCTTTCCCTTGCCCTAACCTAGAATCAGTAGGACAGTGATAGGAGGGGATAGGAAGGGATCAAACACTAAAGTAAAGGGCAGCCACTGAGCTAGGGGGCGGAAGGGCTGGGTCTCAGCACAGGCTGTCTGCCTCCATCCTTCCCTCTGCCTTGGCCTGGGCCTGGATGGGGTGTGTGGGCTGTGGGCGTCCCCCCACACTAGGCCCTCCTCTCTGAGCAACCAGGGAGAACAATCCCCTTGTGTTTGGACCGTCCAGCTCTGCATGCTGATGAGGGGGGGCTACTGGGGGAGGGGAGCAAGGATGCTGAGCAGCTAGGACCCTGGAAGGGTCCTGGGATAGGGGATCCAGAACACTGGGCAGGATTGAAGCTGGGACCTCAAGGAAGCTATTCCTTGGGAGGAAGGGAACTGGGACCCTGGGTGGGGAGGGGTCTTGGGAAGGGGAGGGGAGTTGGGGTAATCTGACTGCGCATAAGGATAGGGGTGGGGTTGCCAAGTCTAGGAGAGCTAGGAATGGAGGCTGCAGGGGGTTAAGGCCCTGGCATTTCTGGGTATCTAGTGCTCCCCCTTCTGAGTACCACTTCCCTCAGAGGGAATGGGTAGAATGGACAGAGAGAGGCAGGGGCCCTGAAATGCCAAAGGTCATAAGATGGCAGTCCGAGTGGAGCAGGCAGTGGGCACCTCCCTGCCCTTGCTAGGGCTAGCCGTGGTCCTGCTGGTGCTGGGGCCTTACATGGTGGGGGCCACTGAATCCAAGCTAAGATGAAAAACCTCAGAAGTTGGGGGAAAGGATAGGAGAAGCCTCTGACTCCAAGGGTATGGGAGGGACAACAGGGGGAGATGTCCAACTGTCCAGAACTCCAGGTCTCCATCCCCATTCTAAGTTGGAAGCCCAGGATCCGAAAGATTAGAGCTATTTGGCTGGAGGAAGTAGGGGTACCTGGGCCAGTCAGGGCTGGAAGTTGAGCTAGGCAGTAAGGAAGAAGTGGGGTCTGGGGTTGGCAATGAGGCTGGGACAGAAAAAGCTGAAGTTAGGGGGCAGGGACTCGGATAGAAAAAGTAGGGGTGTCTCGGGGGTCAGGAGAGCTCGGATAGGGTCAGGTAGCCTGAGAAGGTGGGGAGTGGGTGATGGAAGTCAGGTGCCTTGGGTGGAGGAGCCTGGCTGTAAGTATTACAGGTGTCTGGGTGTCAGACTGTGAAGCAGAGCTGGGGCTCAGGGGATGAGATGGCCAGCTAGGGGAGAGCAAGCTGGAGGGGAGGGTGTTGAATCAAAGAACCCGGGGTTGGGGGGACAGGTACAGGGCCCTGGACAGCAACCAAATCAGCACCTGGCCTGCCAGGCCCACCCCTCCCTGCCCCCATCCCAGCCCCGCCTGCGCAAGCGTCCTTGGTTCTGCCCTGTCCCTTGGGGGCCAGCAGGGCGTGTTCCCTGCAGCCCCAGGTCCAGCACTGCGGCCTCTTCCCTCCCTGGCCCCCACCCCAGAAATCTGAGCCCCCTAGGAAAGGCCCCCACCCCATTTCCAACTTTCCCCAGGGCCCGGCTTGGGGCTGTGGTTGACGCCCCAGCCTGCTGCGGCCCTGGAGTCACCTGCTGGAAGGAGGGTCTCTCCCGAGGCCCCCCGCAGGGCCAGGCGCCTGCTGTGCCCCCTGCCCGCTTGCCCAGCCCAGGGTGCAGTCCCTCTCCTCCCCAAGCAGGGTCCCTGCCCCTGCCCCTTCCCCCCCCACCCCGGTCCGGCCCAGCCCAGCCCAGCTCAGCCCAGCCCAGCCCAGTCCAGCCCAGTCCAGCCTGCCGGTACCTCTGGGGTCTGTCCTGCAGCGCTGGGGGGGTGGCTGGGCCGCTCAGTGCCACATTGTCCCCGGGAGAGGCGGCCGCTCACAACTGCTAGTGACATCAGCTGCGAACAATGAAGTGTTTGACAGGCGAGCCCGAGCCGGGCCAGGAGCACGGGAATATGTGTGCCCCCCCCCCTCGCCCAGCCTCCCTCCCTTCCCTCGGCCTGCCCGCCCGCCAGCCCCTCCCCTCCCCCCAGCCCCCTCCCCTCCCTCTGGGATCCGATTACAGCAGATAAAGGCGCCAGGGCCCCAACAATGCCGCAGCCTCGAGCTCCAGCCCAGCCCAGATGCCAGGGAGGCCAGGGCTGCCCCCTCCCCGGGGATGCACTGACCGGGCTGGCACGGGATACTCGGCGCCCCCTCCCTCCCTCCCACCCACCTGCTTCTCTTTGGGCCACTGTCTCCTTTCTGCTCAGCTCCCTGCCCTTGTGGGTTCCCATCCTCCTCTGGCCCCTCTGAGCGGCTTCCAGCCTCTGCCTCCTGTCTGGCTGTCTGTGGGTTGCCTCTTCTCTCTTCCCATTTCTCCTCCTCTCCCTCAGTTCCCTCAGCTTTAGAATGAAGGAAGTGGCCTAGAGGGTTTCTAAGGACTCTCTCTGGTCTCCCTATTTGGGTGTGGGCAGGGTGTGTGGGGGGGTGTGAAGAGGAAGGGATACACACCCCCAAGAACTACTTTAGACCTAAGCCACAACATTTTTCTACACTCTAAATCCCAGTGGCCCCAAGTCCCTCACGGGTCTGTCACTCCAGCTGGAGCACCGAGTATGGGGTGTAGGGGGAGAGGAGGGGAAGAAGGGAGAGGGGTCCGAGGGCTTACCTCCAGCACAACAGAAGGCTGCTGGAAGTGAGCCCACTCCTCCCCCTACCTGGGGCCAAGGTCGGCAGCTGAGAGAGGACTCATTGGCCTCAGTTTCTCCTTCTGACACCCCCTTTCTCATTTTCAATAATAATAAATATTTAAAGAACCAACAGGGTACAAGGGAATGGCCTCTGAGTCAGGAAGGCCTGGGTTCAAGTCCTGGCCAGACACTTACTGGCCTAGAGACTCTTGGAGCAAATCACTTAATTTTAAGTACCTCAGGCAATTCTGAGAAAGTTAGGGAACAGGTAAGGAAGGTACCTTCGTTTTGGAAGGGAAGCAGAAAAGGTGCATCTATATAGCACCTACTGTGTGCCAGTGACTGTGCTAAACACTTTTTCCAAATATCATCTCATTTGATCCTGAACACAACCCTGCTCAGGCAGGTGCTCTCCCTTTGGTAGAGGGAATATGCTCACTGGAAGTTTCCTAGATCAATGAAATCACTGGTCTGGTTTAAAAAAAAAAAATTTTTTTTTAAATTGGCAAAAAAAGAAAAAAAAAAAGCCCGGGGCAGTTAGGTGGCCCAGTGGATAGAGCACCGGCCCTGAAGTCAGGAGGACCTGAGTCCAAACCTGGCCTCAGACCAAGCACTTGACACTTACTAGCTGTGTGATCCTGAGCGAGTCACTTAACCCCAACTGCCTCACCAAAAGGCCAAAAAAAAATGTATTTGAAGACTTTCAAAGCGTTTTTCTTTAAAACACCTGCAAAGTAGGTAGTGAATGAATTATTATTCCCACTTTACAGATGATGAAATATGATCTGAGCTGAAGTGACTTCAGGTCATGTGGCTAGTAAGAATGAGAATCAGGAACCAGCTCTCCTAACACCAAATCTGGTATTCTATCCATTACACAACACCAGCCCCTCCATTAGGACTCTCTGGGGTGGGTGTGATGTGAGTCTAAGGTCAGAACTTTCTACCCACGGAGGCCAGAGCAGGAGGTAAGGTGGGCAATTAACCCTTCTGTATGTGGGGCTGCCCCACCCCCAAGCAGCAAATTCCCTTCGAGGTAATCAGATCGTCCTGGGTGCTCTGAGCCTCTTGGGACCTTGGAGGGGGGTAGGGTGGAATTCAAGTCCACTCTCCATCTGGACAGGAGGACGAGCGTCACAAGGCCATCTGCTGGACAGGAAGGGGGGGGTGGAACGAGGAAGGGGTATGGTCAAGGCAACAACATCTGAGCAGATGAGACAAGGATGAACAATTAAAGGGTTTGATCTCTTTATTTTTTTGTTCCTCTCCCAACCCCCCATGATTCAAAGGCAGGAAGAGGCAGACATTATGGGTGTCAGGGACTCAGGTATCAGCATAGAAAGAGGAAGGAGAACCCTTCAACAACTATTTACAGTCACCTTCCCTCAGCAGAGGCCAGAAAGAAGCACTAACGGTGAGTTGAGCCCCCAGCCCAAGACATCTGAACTCCAGAGCTGCACACCCCCAGAACCCTGGGGGCCAGGCCCCCCCCCCAATCCCAGGCAGCTCCTTTGCATCTGGAGATCTCAGCTGGCAAATGTGTCCATGGATGGGCTGCTACATGCGCATATACGTGCAGATGTTCCTAGATGTATGCCTACAGGTACATATGTGTGTGTGTACATCTGTAACCCTATATGTGCACGTGGGGGCAGACAGAGGAAAAGGGAGGTGGTGTGCAGAAGCCTGCAAGAAAGGAGCCAGGAAAGGCTGGAGCTGGAAGGGGGAGCAGAGGAAGCACCATGAGAGAAATGCTTCTAATCAATTACCCTTCATGTGGACTGGATCCCTGGTTTTCACCTTGTTAATTTTCCTGATTCTTCTCATCCACCTATAGCTCTGAGGAAAGAGAGAAAGACAGACAGAGAGACCAGGCACTAGACAGACAGCTCCCTCGGAGTAGACAAGCAGATGGAGAGATGGACAGACAGCTGGCAGGTCAGCCATGCAGGCAGGGAGAGTGTCAGACAGGCCGGCCAGAAAGAGAAGTAAGAGGCCAGGTCAAAGGGGCAGGGATGTGGCTGTCAGTCCCCTCCCCTCCCCCCAATCAGAAGGGGGTGGGTCCAGGGTAGCCTGGACTAGCCTGGGCCCTTATGACAGCCCATTCAGGAAATTCAGTAGCCCAGAGTGCCATTCGTCTGGGCTGTCCAAGTAGCAGGGGTGTCCCGCGCCCACCATCACCATCACCTGGTGGTTAGGCAGTTGCTGCAGGTGCTTGAGGCTTGACTCCCCCATGGGATCCTGGTCTCCATACACGATCAGGGTGGGGGTCTGGGAGGGAGTAGAGGAAGGGTGGAGGAAGCCATCAGGTACCTGTTCACCTCAGCCACCCTTAACCCCTGACCCCCAGGTCCCCTGACCCTAACTTCATTTACCAGGAGGGCCTCCTCTCTGTTCTCAATCTGCAGGTCAGCTGGATGAGAAAGGAGATGAGAACACGAGGGGGCAAAACTCTAGGAAGCTTCCCCTAATTAAGGGGCCCACATCAAAATAACAAATAAAGATCAAACCCAGAGTGGCTGGTGTCCTCTAACTTTGGTCAACCCTTCCCCTTCCACGCAGGATGGATACCCCTTTAAAAAAGGTCCATTCTACATTCAACAATTATTTATTAAATGACTGTAGTATACACAGCACCGTGCCCACACCACTACTAGCACTGGAGAGTGGATGGTGCTAGGGAGGAGAAGGGGTTTAGGTAACTGATTAGCCATATGTGTTACAAGGGGTTTTCTTTCTCCTTCTTCCTTCCTTCTTTCCTTCCTTTCTTCCAAAGGCAAGGTAGGAGAGAAAATAAATGCTTGTTAATTGAAAAAAATATAAACTAAAAGTTATTTTTTTTAAAGAAGAGTTTCACTAATACAGAATTCCTCTGCTCCAATCTAGCTTCCAATCTAGCAGGGGAATATCCTGACCAGCCTCGGTCCCTGCCTAGTGGGGGCCATCCATGCCCTCAGTCATTCCTTCTCTGCTCCATTCTTGCCTCTGATTCTCATTCCCCCTTCCCCTCAGACACACATACCTTCACCCGGCCATAGTCAGCAGGGCTGACTTTATCTGTGCAGATTGGGGCAATAGGCACATAGCCACAGAGGTGGGAGCCCGGTGCTGTGAGGAAAGGCAGTGAATACATTCCACTCAGAGATGGGCTGACCAGGGCTGTGGAGCCCAGCTCCAGAGCCTCCAACACAGCTTGCAGAAAGCTGCTGGGGGCCAGCTCCCCAATGGGTGTGGGGGCAACTGCCTCCTTAGAGTGTCCTAGACCTGGAGGGAAGAGAAGACAAGACAGTGGGTAGGCAAGCTGGGGAAAACAAATGGTTCATCTACTCCAAGAAACCTGCACTGATCGTCAATCCCAACCTACTCTGGTCAATCAACAATTTTGTATCAGATAGGATTTATAGCCAAAAGGGATTAAAGATATTAGTGCTGCAGTGGATAGGGCACTGAACTTGGAGTCATGAAGAGCTGAGATCAAATCCTGCCCCTAACCAGGTGTGTGACCCTGGGCAAGTCACAATCTCCTTGAGCCTCAGTTTCCTCATTCGTAAAATGGGGAACTAGCACCTGCCTCCCAGAGTTGTGAGGATAAAATGAGTTACTGTTTGTAAAGCGCTTTACAAACCTTAAAGTATGAAAATAGTCACTAGCTACTATCATTTAGTTCAACCCCCTCCCTTTACAGAGTGCAGTGTAGAAAGTGTGTTGGAGGGGCAGCTAGGTGGCACAGAGCACCGGCCCTGGAGTCAGGAGGACCTGAGGTCAAATCCGGCCTCAGACGCTTGACACATACTAGCTGTGTGACCCTGGGCAAGTCACTTAACCCCACTGCCTAGGAAAAAAAAAAGAAAGAAAGAATGTTGGACTTGGAGTCAGGAGACAGCTAGGTTCAAATCCTGTTTCCAACACTTACTAGCTGTGTGACTAAGCCTCATTTGTCCCATCTGTAAAACAGGGATAATATCAATAGTATTTGTCTTACTGGGTTCTTGTAAAAATCAAGTAAGATTATTCTGTGCTTACCAAGGACGAGGAAAGGGAACAAAGCATTTATTAGGCACCTGCTATACTTAGCTAATTTGGAAAGGTGGGAAGAAGCCAGATAATAAAGGATTTTAAATGTCAAAAAGTTTATATTTGACACCGGAGGCAATACAGAGCAGAGGAGGGGTGATCTGGTAGCTGACTGGAGAATGGATTAGAGTGGGGAGAGACTGGAGGGAGGGAGAATAGTCAGAAGGCTGTAGTCCAGGCAAGAAGTGCTGAGGGCCTGAAGAAGGATTGTGGTCATATGAGTGAAGAAAGGGGAGGGATGTTGGGAAGGTAAAAATGACAAGATTTAGCAATGAGTTGGATCTATGGGTTGAACAAGAGTGAGAAGCTGAGGATGAGTCTGAGGGTGTGAGCCAGGGTTACTGGGGGGGATGGAGGTGCCCTTGACAATAGGAGGGAGTTTGGGGTGTGTGTGTCCGGGTAATGGTTGCAAATCGAGAGGTGGCACTAGATGCCAGGTCTTTGTTCTGCTCTGGACATGGTGAGTGTGAGATGTGAATGTGACACCCTTTGGAGATGCATGGTGGTAGTCCAGCAGAGAGATATGGGCTGAATAAATAGATCTGGAAATCATTAGCAAAGGGATGGACTGCTTGGGTATCTGTATGTACAAATAACCACTAGGTTTTTACTGCATGCAAGTGGCCTGCCTTTTTACCTGGGGAGGAGGGGGTGTCCTTGAGGCTGGAGCTGTGTTTCCATCCCCCCATTCTCTTCCCTATATTGCCCAGCTTAGGACTCTACCCATGGGGAGGCAGAAGGAGAGGGGCAGGGCATAGCTTAGGCTAGAAGTTAGGGAGGAGATCTAGGGTCTTCCCCATCCCTTGAGTGAGCCTGCTTGGACACCCACCACAGACACACTTGTTCTGTGGAAAGAGCCCTGGGCTAAAAGTCAGATGATCTGGATTCTAGTCCCAGCTCTGCTATTCACTGGCTTTGCAACACAGCCAAGTGCTTTACCCTTTCTGGGCCTGTTTTAAATGAAGGAATTACACTAGATTATTCCTAAAGTCCCTGTCCAACTCTGACCGGGCCCTTCTCTTTTGGTGGGGTGGGGGGGATTAACAGCTGCGTAGAGAGTCTTCTTTCTGTTTTTAGTACTTAGAAGTATAAGGTACAAGACCCCGAATCTTCCCAACCCCCCTGTACACCTATTCAGAAGGCTCTGAAATCCTAGCCCAAACAGCTCCAATTTTCCTAATCACTGCCCTTGTCTCCTGTGAATGAAGGTACTTTCTTCAACAGGGCCCGTAGCCCTATCCATTCTGACACAATTTGAATTCAGCTCCCAGAGTCATACACTGCTCCCCAGGCCCAAACACACACTCTTCCACTGAATGACAGAATTAAACCTGCTCCAGGTAACTCAGACCCACTTGTCTCATACCTGGCAGATCAATGCCCACTGCCCGGTAGCCAGCCTGGGCCAGTTTATCCAGGGTGCCCAGCTTGAGCCAAGTGTCAGAGGAGAATCGGATGCCATGGAGTAGAAGCACCGAGAGGCCCCGTGGGGTCTGTCCACTACCAGGCCGGGCCTCCCGATAGAAGAGCTTCTGTCCCTGCACAGAGATGGTGCCTTCACTGGATTGCACACTGGTCATGTTTCACCTCCAGTACTGGGCCTGCTGGGGTACAGAGCACAGGGGGGTTAGGGTCACAGCCTGAGGGCTGAGGAGCTGGGAAACCAAGTTCAAGGAAGGTGGTAAATTGGCCCTGAGGAAAATGGGCAACAGGCTCGAGGACAGAGAGGAAGGCAAGGACCATAGGGCAGACAAATAAGAAAGGTGGCTAGTGTGGGGATGCTGAA